CCATCTTTCTCTCAAATCAATAAACATATCCTTGGGTGAGGATTTTTATAAAATCATGTGATCATATCAGTAGATACTGAAAAAGCATTTGACAAAATCCAGCACTGCTTTATGATAAAAACTCAGGAAAGCGGAACTAGAGGGAGCATAGCTTTAAGAACGGCCATATGTGACCAACCGACAGCTAACATAGCACCCAGTAGGAACAGCCAAAAGGGTTTCCCTTAAGATCAGGAACAAGACAGAGATGTCTGCTTTCACCACTTTTATTCAACATAGTACTGGAAGCCCTAGCCACAGCAGTCAGGTAAGAAGAAGAAATAAAAGTTATCCAAATTAGAAAGGAAGGAGTAGAGCTCATTATTTGCAGATGACATGATACTATATAGAGAGAACCCTAAATGATCCACAAAAAAACTACTAGAACTGATTAATTAATTCAGTCAAGTAGCAGAACACAAAATAAATATTCAGAAATTGATGGTATTTTTTATATCAGTAATGAACTATCAGAAAGGGGAACTAAGGAAACAATCCCCTTTACATTGCATCAAACAAATAAAATATCTAGGAATAAATTTAACCAAGGAGGGAAAAGACCTGTGCTTGGAAAGTGTAAAGAAACTGAAGAAAGAAAGTGAAGAGGATGCAAGTAAATGGAAGCATATACTATGTTCATAGATAGGAAAAAATTAACATTAAAATGTCATTGTTACCCAAAGCAATCTATAGATTCAACTCAATTACTATCAAAATACCAGGGCCATAATATACAGAACTAGAGTAAATAACCCAAAAATTTATATGAAACCACAGAAGACCCTGGATAGACACAGCAATCCTGAGAAAGCAAAACAAAGGTGGAGATATCACCCAACCTGTTATCAAACTACCACCAGCCTATAGTAATCAAAACAGCATGTTATTGGCATAAGCACACTTATGGATCAGTGGAACAGAACAGAAAGCCCAAAAATAAACCCACATGTATATGAGCAATAATATTTGACAAAGGAGACAAGAACATACAACGGGCTAAAGACAGCCTATTCAATAAATGGTGTTGGAAAAATTGGACAGAAAGTATGGATTAAAGACTTAAGTGTAAGACTCAGAACCATAAAACTCCTAGTAGAAAACATGGGAAATCGCCGACATTTCTCTGAGCAGTGTTTTCTGATCTGTCTCCTCCGGCAAGGGAAACAAAAGAAAAAGAAAAAAATGGGACTACATCAAACTAAAAAGTTTTTGCACAGCACAGGAAACCATCAACAAAACAAAAAGACAGCCTTTTGAATGGAAGACGATAATTCGCCTTTAATAGAAAAAACTTTCAAATAAGTTTCAGCAGAGTGAAAACCTGCACGTACAATATAATAAATATATAAGCCTAGGAAAATACCCAAGATGGGGACAATGAAAACTGCCGAGATATAAAATTGGGCAATATCATATTATTTTCTTTTTTTTAAGATTTTATTTATTTATTTTTAGGGAGGGAGAAACGGAGAGAAACGTCTGTGTGGTTGCCTCTCGAGCGCCCCCTCCTGGGGGCCTGGCCTGCAACCAAGGTGCCTGGATTGGGACTAAAACTGGTGACCCCTTGGTTCACAGTCCAGCACTCGATCCACTGAGCTACACCAGCCAGAGCTAGTTTCTTTTTACTTGCCTGAGTTAGCCAAGTTCTTTTCATTGGTGAGCACACTTTTAAAATTATAATCAGAAATAAAAGTGTTATAAAACAAAACCTTGCCCAGAATCTCCCTATGAATTCAGAACAGGATTCTCTCGAGGGGGCAGGGTGCGGTCCTGTTAAATATGGTAGTTGGAGGAGCTGCGCTGGGTCATGCAGGAGTTAAATCCCACCTAGGACTGGGTGGACTGGGGAGCTCAGACAGCCTGCCTTGCTCTTCACCCAGGCGGGGAGCACGCCAAGCGCGCCCTGGCCGGCTCTCCAGCTTCTGCAGTCCTCCAAGGTGGGGTCAGTACAGTTCAGCCAGGCTGTTTTTCACAGTCTGGTTCCTACTGACTGCATCTTTATGATGTCATTTTACTAATTTCCCCTGAATTTCCTTTGATACAATACTTTCTTTATTCATCCATTCAACCAACTTTTATCAACCATCTACCTTGTGCCGGGTGGGGGCTGTGGATGCAATGGTGAAAAATAATAATCAAGTTTTTGCCCACTCAAGAAGTCTATCGTGTGTTATAAGTGTGAAGGAAAAGAGAGCAGCAAGGAAGGGCGGGCAGTCAGGATGGGCAGTGGGTGTGAAGGTGAGCCGCGCTGGCCCTAGGGCGATGGGGAAGGTGTCCCGGGGGAGGGAGTGCACGGGTAGGCTGCAGAAGCGGCGCAGAGGCAGCCCTGGTGGCTGCAGCAGAGCGAGCAAGCGAACTCCAGGGGGCTCGGAGTGCAAGCCGAAGAGGGAGCTGCAGGGAGAGGCGGTTGGCGCCGTGTGTATGGACTCGCGGGCTATAGGCAGGACACTGGCTTCCACGCTGGGTGAGGCCGGAGGGTTCTGGGCCGAGGAGAGATGTGACCTGATCCAGGTGTTCACAGAACCTCTGTGGCTGCTGTGCCGAAAACAAGCTGAAGCACAGAGGTGGAAGCAGTGAAAGCAGATAGAAGACTGTTCAATAACCTAGGCCAGAGTGGAGCGACAGAGCTTAGGATGAGTCTGGAGGTGGAGCTACGAGGGTTGCTGGCGGAGTGCACGTGGGAAGAGAAAGGAGCAAGGCAACTCCATGCTGTCGGGTGTAGGACAGTCCTTCTGGACAGATGGACTTGTGCTCACTGAGGGGGCAGGGTGTGAAGCCCGTCGTGGGGGGCAGTTAGGGCTCACACTGTGACAAGTTTAACCTCTAGTCGACATCCACACCGGGTCTATCCAGCTGGATACGGGAGTCAGGTTTCCAAGGAGAATTCTAGACTAGACCCATAAATGTGGCAGCCTTCAGTATGCATGTGAGGGGCGGGGCTGAAACCTGAGACTAGAGCACATCAGAGCTCAGGGACAGGAAGCAGTGGAGGTGGGAACTGGCCCAGGAGGTGGGAGAAAAGCACAGAGCAATATTCGGGGCACTCAGTAGGCGGCTACCAGGGAGAGGGATAGTTGGCCAAAAGCTGTACATCACAAGCTGGAGGCCTGTCTGGGATGACCTGCTGAAGATTCTGCAAGAGCCTGGCTGCCGCGGCTCCAGAGAGTGAGGACGGCTCAAAGATACACGACACCTCTTCTGAGACATGTTCCTCTAAAGGAAAAGGTACAAGCGGAGTGGTGGCCGATGCTGAGCTGAGCTCAGAGTTAAGTTTGCTTTGGTCTCAAGCTGGGGAAGAGAGGAATGGTTCCTTCCGCTTACAGGAGCGATTTAGTGCAGAGGGTGAAATCGCTGCAGGGAATGGCTGGGACAGTGACCTGAGCAGGTGAACAGGGCCGGGGTCGCATGTGACAGTAGGGTTGGCCTTGGTGACCGGATGAGAGGCAGGCACGGTCCCGGTGCTTGTGGGAGGGCTCTGCTGGTTGTGTCTGTTTGCTTGGAGGTGGGAAGCCAGGTACACAACCTGAGCTGTTAGAGATTTGAGGAGAAAAGATAGGAAATGGATGACAAGGACAGAGTAGCTGGGCCAGCGGAGTGGGGTTGCCAGTGTTGGGAGGCCGTCTGGGGCTAGATCGTGAAGTTCAGCGAAGGCCGGTCGGCACTTTGGGGTTAGGCTGTTTGTGTTAGTTCTGCAGCCCCAGGCATGCGTCGGCGGAGGACTTCTCTAAGCAGGACCTGGCTTTTGTCAAGCGAGTAGGAGCAAGTACAACAGGGGAAGTGTGGGTGAAGCCACACAGCTTGCCCAGAGATAGCCGGCAGGGAGAAGCATAGGCCTGAAGGGGGTGGGGCCGGAGTTAGGGTGCTGGAGGCAGTGCGCCGCCGAACGGAGGGGAGGTGGTAAGAAGAGAGTGCATTCTTGTGCCAGGGCTCCCCGGGTGGCAGCTCTCTGACAGTGACCAGCTATTGTCATGAGGAACACTGGGTCCCCACAGCACAGGAAGTTAAAGCTAAAGCTATCAGGGAATGAGGAAGATGCATTGAAGGCAGCAAGGAGGGCTGGTGGGTGACCGCTTGCACAAGATTCGCAAAAGGCAGTTGTTAGTCGGGGGAAGGGACTGGGCCTCTGGGGTGCAGGTGTGGGGGTGCCGCCTGCGCATGCAGGAGCACGCCGCCGGCGGAGAGCAGGTCCAGCAGCTGGGGGACGTGCTTCCTCCTCCACGAGCTCCGTGGTGGCCCAGGCTGCTGTGTGATCAGAAAGACACTCACCTCCTTTGAAAATAAAATACCCCTGCCACCCAGGAACTTCAAACCAGCCCTGGGGAACCGTCCTGTTTGAGAAGGTCTCAGCCGAGCTCGCCAAGTGTTCTTAGGTAGGAGACTGCTGTTAAAGGAGGATCTGTTCGAGGCTGCCAAGCTGCTATACAGCGATGTTCCTCACTGCCCGCCCAGCTGCCCCGCTGGTCCACCGTAGGGAGTATCCAGCAGCTGTGGAAGCAGCCGAAGGCCAGTGACACACACACGTGGAAAGAGGGAAGCGCGGGAAGTCTCCAGAGAGTGCATGTACCAAGCCTCCCCTCCCTGCAGTCCCTCCTGTAGCCCATACCCTTGTCCCACACGGATGAGTCTGGATGCCGGCCTTGCCCCGACAGCATTACAAGCCCTCTGGGTTGGCGTGGAGGCCTTTGTAAGCTACCATCGGTGGTTGTAGCAAAGGTCCCAGGGAACCCCATGTTGGACCAGTCAGCCCCCAGAAGCTATCTTAATAGCATGGAATTATCAGTATTATAAGTAGTGTCGCCCTGGCTGGTGTAGCTCAGTAGAGCGAGTGCTGGCCTGCAAACCAAAGGGTCGCCAGTTCTCTTCCCAGTCAGGGCACATGCCTGGGTTGTAGGCCAGGTCCCCAGTAGAGTGTGTGCAAGAAGCAACCACACATTGATGTTTCTCTCCCTGTCTTCCTCCCTCCCTCCCTCTCTCTCTAAAAATAAATAAATAAAATCTTTAAAAAAAATAAGTAGGGATACAACTTTAAATATTATTAAAAATCATATCACCTTATTAGCATAATTAGTGCCAATCGACATTATTGGTCTTTTGTGGTAAACTGGTAGGTCAAGTTGTCTTGAAGCAGCTCTCTGAAAATGCCAGAATTATCTGTTAGTGGAAAATAGTTTGTCCAGAGATATGTAAAAGATATAGCTTCAATGAATATCCAATGCATTGTTTAATAAAAGATTAAAATCAAACCATTATCAAGATTTTGGTTGAATAGTATATATATTGTAATTCTACCCTGCTGTTCAAAATGAATAGGCAGCCTTGGCCAGTGTGGCTCCGTTGGTTGGAGCGTTGTCATGTAAACCAAAGGGTTGCGGGTTCGATTCTCAGTCGGAGCACATACCGAGTTTGTGGGTTTGGTCCCTGGTCAGTGCACATGCGACAATCAACCAATTGTTGTTTCTCTCTCACATCAATGTTTCTCTTCCTCTCACGCTCCCTTTTTCCCTTCCCCTCTCTCTAAGATCAATGGGCATCTCCTCAGGTGAGGATTTTTTAAAAGTGGGACAGTTGCTTAGTAAGAGTAGAAGGATTGAGGACATGTTTGTTTGTTTGTTTGTTTATTGGAAAAATGTATGCCCTGACCAGTGTGGTGTTGTCCTGCAAAGGAAAAGGTCAATAGTTCGATTCCCACTTAGGGCACATGCCTCCGTTGTAGGTTCGGTCCCCAGTTGGAACGCGTATAAGAGACTTTCTCCCAGACTCACCCACACAATGTTTCTCTTTCTCCTCCCCATCCCCCCTCTCTAAAAATAAAAAAATGAAATTAAAAAAAAAAAAAAACAGGCAGAGTTACAGGAGACAACGTTTCCAGTATTCTGTGGGAAGTGTTGTAGGAAGAATGTCCAGTGTAATTCCATCGTGTGTGTGAGAGAGAGATCTGGTAGGCACTAGTGTACATACCATGTGGATTATAGTGCGCCAAGTCAGGTCTTGCGGCAACAACTACTTTTCTCTGGGTTGTGTGATTATTTTTGTTCATCAGCATTTTCTGACTTACCTACCATGAAAACAATGTACATAGAAGACAGGGAGGTAGGGAAACTTCAAGAAAAGCCAGCTCTGCTTGCGGAGGAGAGTCTTTCTGGTCAGCCCTCAAAAGAAGTACAGCTCAAGGTTCCCCTCCTGTGTCCTTTTAAACAGAAGCATCTTTCTGCATAAGGGGTTTCTTCTCCTCTTAACATTTATTAATAGGCGTACATACTATACAGTGCCCAAAACAAAAAGCACAGTGGAAAAAATGATTATTAAAGAGACTGCCTCCTCTATGAACAGCACCCAAATTACTGATGACAGTAATTCTTCAGCTTTGTTAAATCCTTCTCAAACCCCAAGCCTGAAATTCAGCATCACTTCCTTGTCGCCTAAACAGACCTCCACATCTCAGGGCTCAGAAGCAATGCAGGAGCCCCCTTTTCTCCATAGCGTCAAACACCCCATGGCTTGCAGATTAGAAATATCACTATTTTTGATCCCAGTCTCATGCAACGCATCCTATTGTTCTCTACTTGTTCAGAATCCAACTTGAAACATCTTGTTTGATATTTCCACATTTGCAGTTGCATCTCTGGTAGCAGCTGCTGGGTACCAGGCCCAGCCTCAGGATGCGCGTACTGCCTGGCCTTCCCTCTCCTAGGCGCTCTTCCCTGTGTGGATGGGCAGGCATCTGCCTGGCACAGCTGTGTGGGCTTCACGTCGTCATTCACGCCAGTGGGCTGGAGGAGCTGATGCGCTATTACCAGGTAACTCACTAGTCTGTGGCCAGAGACGATCTCTGCTGGCAATGGAAATGATGAGTGACACCTAAATGCTGCACATACAGAGGCAGTCCTTCCCCTAGTATATGTCACATGTGTGCTAAGCACAGATGAAGCCTGGTCTCTGTGGGAAAGCCCCTTCATGTGCTAGACAAGCCTTCTGCGAGTGGTCAGACTGCTGTGGGAGATACCCTGGATTTTACTGCTGGCTCATACTTGTGTTTTTGAAAGTATTCTCCCTTCTCATATGTCCTTGGACTTTCAGAAGCCCCACCAGTGGTTTGCACATGGAGATGACCCTTGGGTAACTCGCTGAAAACATTGGGCCAGCCCTGTGGCAGAGCCACAGCCTGTACCCCACGTGCCCAGAGTGTGCGACCCACAGAGGGTATGACTGTCAAGTGCTGGAGAGACAGGCATGTGCAGGAGTCCAGGAGAGGGAACCTCAGGAGAACTTCGGAAGCATGGGGCTCTCCACGTGGGCGGTATAGTTAGGCCTGGCTGTGGAGTGATTGACACACCAAGTATTCAAGGGGGGCGGGGTGGAGGGGCAAGAAGCCCTCGTGAAGGACTCAGGCTGCGCTTGTGGTAGGGTGCAGGCCCTGAAGGGTGAGGGGGCCTTTCCAGCTTACGTGCTGAGAACAGACTCTTCCAGGGTGGGCAGACGGGGGCAGATGAAAGCTGAAAGAGCGTCTAGAGTGGTAGTGATGCAGGCGTGAGAAGTCGTTGGCCAATCAGTTTGGGGGCGTGTTTAGAATGTGCTAGTGTATTGGGTGTGGGGTGAGAGAGAAAAGTCAAAGACAGCTCCATTTATTTTTAGTTTGACTGGAAATGGTGGACGTGGTGAAGACTGAAGGTGGGGGCTCCGTGGAGGAAAGGACAGGAACCCAGTTTTGAACAAACTAGGTTTGAGTTGCCAGTTTGACGTTCACGTAGAGCTGTCAAGTAGGCAGGGGAAGCAGGGTCTGGCGTTCATTGAAGCAACCCAGCTGGAGAAATAAAGTGCAGGCCGTTGGCACACACAGGTCACATGAAGACTGACTGCGGTCACCCAGAGTGGGTACAGATAAAGAAGAGCCCACAGACCGAGCCTGGCCCCCCACATGACTTGGAGCAAAGTAGGAAGGAACTGCAGCGATGTGGTGCCTGAGCAGCCAGGTGAGCAACCGCGCCCAGAAAGGGAAGTGAGTGGTGAGCGGGTGGGTCCTGCTGCCCAGCAGGGGGCAGGAGGAGAACGGAGGGGAGAGGACACCGGTGACTGTGAGTCCTGGGGCACGACGGCCTGTCTGGGTGGGCTCTCAAGACCAGGGAAAGGAACGGGAACAGCTCTTATGAGTTTTTGCTGAAAAAAGGAGTAGAAAAATGGGACACGGGCTGACAAAATGGCATTTTGGGATGGGAGAATGAGCAGGATATGTGCTGAAGACAAGCTATAGAGAGGGTGTTGATGCCGAGAGAAGAGTGGGGAGTTGCCGGGGCAGTGGCCGTGGCAGGTGGGAGGCGATGGGACCGGAGCTCCAGGCTGGGTGGGCTCCAGCACAAACCGCGTGCCTGTAGACAAAACGTGGGTGCGGGTGCCAGAAGGCACATAAACGCAGCATCTTCTTCTAATGGCTTCCATTTTCTCAGTGAAGGCGGAGCAAGGTTATCTATCCACAGAGAGTTTAGACGGGAATGAGGAGGCTGTAAAATAGTCCTCTGGGTGGCCCCCGAGGCTAGTGGTCATTAGTGGGAAGGTAGCCAGGCAGACTCAGAGCTCAGGCCTGCCAGGCAGGGTGTAACTAGGGTGCACAACCAAGATGGAGCTGGGGCCGGGCGCAAGGCGCTGCAGCCATCGCATGCCTTCCCTCCCTTGGGAACGGGTTCTCCCGCAGGGAGGCTGGGGCCCAGTGCAGCCCTGACCCCAAGTGTGGCTTTTGATCTGTCAGGATTGGGGCAACTTCAAGGAGCTGGTCTCGCTGCCGGAGGCAGCCCTGGACCTGGAGCAAGCCCACAGGGGCGTGTTCACAGAGCTGGCCATCCCCTACCTCAGGTTAAAGCCGCAGAAGACGCTGGGACACCTGGAGTTCTTCTGGTCCCGTGTCACCATCCCAAAGGTAATTCAGCCCTCCCGTAGGTGCTGGCTGCCACATGCATGTGTGGCACCAGCCTGACCCTCGGTCATATCATCCTGCCAGGTGCTGAGAGCCACAGGGCAAGCCCATTTGTGGGCGGAGCTGGCGTTCCTCTGTAACAGGTACAAGGAGTATGACAATGCCATCCTCACCATGATCAGTCGCCCCAGGCGCCTGGAGAGAAGGGCAGGTCAAGGACACCATTGCCAAGGTAAGAAGGCACCTAAGTGCAGGTTTCTGCCCGCTTGTGCCAGGCCTGTCCCACGGGCAGGGGAAAGGCGCACCGGTGTGCCACCCCGGGGCATGTTTGCGCATCTGCGCAGTGGCGGCCGTTCTGTCCCCCACACGGCGGGAACTGACGCTTAGGAAAGGTTCTGAGTGGCCGAAGGCCCCGCAGCTAGGCTAGGGGCAGGGTCGGTGTGCCGCTATGGCCCTGCCTGGCTTCCTGCCCCTCCTGCCACCCGGCCCCCCAGGACCACGCCCTCCTCACCAGGCTCCCTCCTCGGGCCCTTTGCAGCTGGACCTGGCCGTTTGTTCTTCCTTCGATCCCATCAGCTCAGGACTCCCAGACCCTGTCTACCACCATTTCCTGTTGTATTTTTTAGTATTTTTCACCACCCAGCATTTTTTTCCTTCATTTTCTCTCCCCCTAAAACTGCCGGCCCCAGAGGAATACAGGCATCTGACAGGGGCAGTAAACATCTGCCGGCGGGGCGTGAACCCAGGTCTGCCCCTGGGTGCCCACCTTCCACGGAGCTGCCACCCTCCTATAGTCTAGACGGGCTAACCCAGAATCCCAAGCTGTGCTATCAGCCACCAAAAGCTGCCGGAAGGTGTCACACCTGGGTGCAAGCATCGCGCAGGCCTCTGCCGCGTTGCATTCCTGTTTTCCGGACCGCTGACCGCTCCTTGACGTTGGGTGGCAAGGGAGTGAGCTCCCTGCCTTCAGGCCCCTGACCTTTTGCTTTGAGTGTCCTCGTTTTGTTGATGTGTCCTTGGGTGAGTAATTTGCCCTTGGCCTCTCCCGTTTGTTGTCTGCCAGTGAAGGGAGCTGACTACGTGCCCACCCTGCTGCTCCCACGGTTGGGGGTGGGCCCCCCTCCTCTGGGTCAGGGACACACATGCCTTCTACTCCACACAGGGCTGCAGAGGGAAGGCCTGGGTGCCAGGTAGAGCACCCAGCCAGGCCTCAGCAGCTACCCTCACCGGGAGCTGTTAGAAGAAACACTGGGCCCACGGTCATGGGCAGCCACAGCCATCAGCGTGCTGGTGTGGGAAGTCTGGCTGTCTGACAGACGTCCCGCTCGGGCGCACAGCCAGCTGCTATGGAAAGCAGGCAGATCACACGTTTTTGTGCCCGGCACACATGAAAAATGTGCTGGAAAGCCCATACCTGGTCAGCATTTTTCACATTTAACTCCTGATACCAGGACACTTTTTAAAGTTGATGACTGCCATGGTTGAAATAGCAGTGCCTTTTGGGGAGTTTTCCTCTTTTTTTTTTTTTTTTTTTTTTGCTTTGAGAGAAACGTCAGTTAGTTCTTCCGCTTATTTATGCTTCACTGGTTGCTTCTTGTTGTGCCTTCACTGGGGATTGGACCCACAACCTTGGCGTATCGGGATGATGCTCCAACCAGCTGAGCTACCCGACCGGAGCCAGCGCTTTTTGTTTCTTAGTGGTGCCTGGATGTTGTAGCTGTCCAGGTAGCTGATATATCCCCTGACCCACGTTCAGTCCACCTTGGGGACAGTCAGGATCCGCAGATTCCTGAGGAGAGGGAGGGGTCAGCATGGTGTCTTGGGTCCGATGACATGCCTCACAGATGAGACCATGGCATGTGGGAGAGCAGTGATCGTAAAGCTGGTGGCCAGAGCTTCTGCAGCATTTCCCGCTAAAATGTCCATGGTTAAAATTGGCGTCACTGAGTAATCCAGGCAGCCCTTTTTGCATGTGTGCTTGGAGGGCTGGTCGATTCCAGGTGACCAGCATGTCATGCGGCCCCCAACCCAGTGATTCCCTGAGGACTTGTCTGGGTGCTCTGGCCGCTCTCCACACTCAGGCAGGCCAGTTGCCCCTGGTGAAGCCTCCCTGCGGTCAGTTCAGAGCCACAGCAAGTGTGCGAATGAGGTGTTCAAGCACTTGCTGATGGAAGAGGAGGATCAGCGGGTGGGTGTGGGGAGCAGGGACTTTTCAGAAGGCTGCTGCAGCAGCTCCTCCCGTGCCTCGGGGAGCCATGATACCGGTCTTGGGCTCAGGGACTGGAGAGCCTCTGTCGGCAGCAGCCAGGGTGTCATCAGCAGGCCACCCTTGCACAGAAGAGGGTGTGGACACCATGGGGCACCCAGGGTAGATGGACAGAGACCTTTCTGAGGTTGTTGGTGGCAGCCACCAGGACTGAGTAATACCTGGTCCCTGCTCCACCATGTCCCTCACCCGCAGAAAGGCTGTGACCTCCTGGAGTGTGAGAGCATCATCTACGCCCTCAACAACTTTGACAACGTCGTCCTGGCCCAGCGGTTGGAGAACCACCAGCCTATCCAGTTCAAGCACGTTGCCACCTGTCTGTGCAAAGGCAGCAACCAATGGACACAGAGTGTTGAGCTCTGCTAAAAAGACCATGTCTACAAGGTTGGTGCCAGTGCCCTACTTGCCCACCCCTGCGTGCTCCCCGATGCTTGTGTGCAGGGGGCAGGGGGCGGTCACATCCCTCTACCAGGAGACCCTCGTGGTGGACAGGAAGCTAAGGAGGCAGTGTTTTTAGAACACAGGGTGAGGGTTGTGAGCAGTCTAGAGGATGAATATCTATTGTTAACATATATCTCTTAAAAGTTAAACTTAGATTGAAAGGCTTGCCTTCAAATAATCGATTATTTTCCCAGCAGTTATTTGTGAGTTTTGACTCTTCCTAAACACAGTGTGGCTGCATTCACTCAGCACCTACTTTGCTTCCTATCAAGATTTGGGGAGTTAATAACACCTAAGGTAAAATCACATTCAAAATACTTGTTTCCACTATTGAGCAGTGGCTTGGCCCCAGCCGCGGGTCCAGATCCAGGTCCAGGCACGTGCTGGCCAGGGTGGGCTGCCAACGAGTCCCAGGCCCGCAAGGCATTGCCGTCCCTCTGCCGGGCATCCCCCTAGTGGGGTAAAGTGCAGTTACACAGGAAGGCCCTTGTGTTGTATGCTGCACAGCTGAGCTGATTTCCAGGGGTGCTGTGTCCCAGGGGCCCCTGAGCGCTGGGAGCTTGGCCTGGGGGCATTGTCCTCAGCACTCCTGAGTGCCTTCGCGGGACAGACACCTCCCTCTCACAGCACATGGGCTGATGTCAGCGACCCTTAACATCAGAGTACATTGAGCTTTTCACCGAGTGTTGCCTTCAGTTTGGGACTGTTCATGACATCCCCTCGCCCTTAGTGACAGTGGTCCTTCCTGGGATGCGGGCAGGGCCCCTGCAGGGGGAGCCAAGAGGAAATGCTGCAGAAGCTCTGGGACTCCGTGTCAGCGTGTTCAGGCGCTGGCCCGGGAAGGTGGCGGCAGTCTCTGGCACGCCCAAGGGAAGCTGCCCCCGGCTGAGGGGGTCGCAGCTGCCCTGTCCTGCCAGTGGTACACCAGGGTCTCGAATGCAGGGCTTCTCACAAACTGGGGCAGGGAATGAGCGAGCGAGCGAGGGTGTGAGCACTGCCAGAGGAACCTCCGTTCCCCAGCCAGCAGTGCCGCTCAGAGCGGCACGCACCAGGGAGAGAACCCAGGAGAACAAGCCACAGGAAGAGAGTGGTTGGCATGCCGTCTTGCACCATGGTTCTCAGTGAGGGGCGACTTTGACCTCCCGAGAACATTTGGTTGTCACACCTGAGGGTGCAGTGCTACATCTAGTAGATGGGGGCAAGGGTGGGGGTGCTGAAGAGCCCGCAGTGCATAGTCGCCCCCCACACACACACATACGTGTCAGCAGTGGCCTGGCAGGGATGCTGCCCTTGGTAGCCATCCTGGGGGAGGCGGAGGTTACGTCATTTCACCCCAGGGGTGGTAAGCGGCAACTGCTGGCTCCTCTAACAGTCGTGGGGCAGCTAGAAGTGGGCTTTCCAGATTGCAGAGGTGAGTGTGGAAGCACGGTGGGCTGTCAGTTGTCAGGGGCGACCACCTGGAGGCGTCACCATTCTCCCTGGGGAGCCCTCTAAGCAGAGGGGGCAGTAACGGGGACTGCTGAGGAACATCGGGACCTGCAGGGTGTGAAGGAAGGTGTCAGGATGCGGGCAGGTGAGGGCTAGGGGACCCGCACACAGGTGTGCAGACAGGCGAGAGGTTCATGGGCCCGTGATGCCCACAAGGGGAGAACCGCGGTCAGCAGGGGGGAAGTCCTGGGCCAGAACCAGCGGGACAGTGGGCTGCAGCAGGGCCCTGGCAGGAGCTGGCAGTGATTCGGGGGCAGGTGGAGAGATGCCAACAGTGACATGGCTGGTGTGGCCGCAAGAAGTGGGGAGACGTGGGAGCATCCCAGACTCGAGCTTGGTTCCAGGCCGTGAGAGGAGGGCACAGACGGAGACGTCACCTGTGCGGCTCACTGCGCCTGAGTCCTCTAGGAAACCTCCGGGTTCTGGAAACATCCACGTTCAGGTGATGGCAGTTGAGGCTGTGGGAGTCCATGAGACAGCCCACAGGGCCTGTGGAGGGAGAGAAGAGACTACTTTCAGGTGCAGGCTGAAGACAAGCCAGCTGAGACGCTCAGCTGGACTGGAGGACACTGCAGGGAGAGGGACGCATGGGCATCTGCTGTCTGGGGAGACGTGACCTGAAGGGGTCCTAGAGCTTTCATTTGAGTCTCCATGGACTTTGATGGTAAAGAACAGAGAGAGAGCCCTGGCTGGGTGGCTCAGCTGGTTGGCGCGTCATCCTGTACACGAAAGGGTTGCAGGTTCAATCCCAGCTGGGGCACACCCCTAGGTTGTGGGTTCAATCCCCAGGTGGGGCATGTACGTGTTTCTCTCTCACATCTCTCTCCCTCTTCTTCTATCTCTAAAAACTCAATGAACGTATTCCTCAGGTGAGGGATAAAATCTTAGAGAGAGAGAGACCTGGTGCCTGTAGGAATAGGGCAGGGACAAGGCAGGACTTGGCAAACAAATCAGCAAGCAGGTGGGATAGGACCTTCCTTGGAGAAGGATCAAGCGGGCATGCCACATCCTAGCATACAGGGCTTTGGGGCTCGTGTAAGTCTCCAGAGGGACCTCAGAGCCTCATGTCAGAGGTGGCTGAGCCTGAGGAGTTTTAACAACTGTGCTATCCAGTAGTTGTCTCTAGGTGGTGGCAGTCACAGTCAGTGGGCAGCCACATTGCACCTGGCACCAGAGTGGAATGTGCCTTCCAGCAGCTGAGTGTGCGGAGGGTTGTGGAGGCTGAGGGAGCTAACACGTGTTGGCAAAGTAGGTTATTCAGTTCTTGCTATTATGGCTAAAAAATAGAGGATGGTTATAGAAATTGCTAACTTACTGGTGATTAATCACTGCATGGGTATAATGTTTTTAATTGTTTTAGACTAAGAAATTTGCCCAATATGAAAGTAGTGATTAGGGACTTTTTTTAAATCCTCATCCAAGGATATGTTTATTGATTTTAGAGAGAGGAAGAGGGAGAGAGAAAGAAACATCCCTGGGTTGCCTCCCATATGTGCCCCGACTGGGAATTGAACCTGCAGCCTAGGTATATGCCCCGACTGGGAATCAAACCCACAGCCTTTTGGTGTATGGGACGGTGCTCCAACCGAGACACCTGGCCAGGCCTGATTAGGGACTTTTGAGGGACTTTTTTAGGTCAGGAAGAGAGGTCAAATTGCTGTTTCTTGAGCACTAGCGTGTCCCATGTAGCTGCTCCATGTTGAGTTTGGAAGGATAGTGCTGGCTGTTGGCCGAGCCCAGCGACTCTGGCCTTCATCGCAGGCCCTGCTGGCTTGGTCACCACCCCCTTCAGTGCCCATGCACTGCCTCTGCATGCGGTGGGGCCCTGCAGCTGGATCGCATCTCCCGGGGCCCTGCGTTGTGCGCGCCGTCTCACTCTGGGCAGCTAGTCCAGCAGCTCTGCAAGATGGAGCTTCCAAGACCATGCTTGGTGCCCTCCTCGGCCCTCCTGGAGGTGGTACTTTGTCTACCAGAAGGCGGCTGAAGTACAGGGAACCATGCATGGGTGAGGAGAGGGCCTTCGTGCAGTTTGGCGCTGTCCCTGTATCCTGCCAGCCCCGAAAGGCAGGGTGGCTGAGCGGAGCGTCTGCCTCGGTTGCAGGACGCTGTGCAGCACACTGTAGAGTCAAGGGGTGCCAGGCTGGCGGAGGAGTTGCTGCAGTGGCAAGCGGGAGTGCTTTGCGGCCTCGCCCTTTGCCTGCTACAGCCTGCTTCCCCCTAACGTGATGCCGGAGCTGGCCTGGGTGCGCAGCCTGCTGGGCCTGGCCGTGCCCTACTTCACCCAGGTGATGAGGGACTCCCTTAGCAAAGTGAGTACCTGCCTCCTGTGGCTCCCTGGCCCCAGGCTGTGACTCTGACTCTGGCTCTGGTCGGCAGAGGCCCTGCAGTGGCCTGAGGAGGCCAGCCCCGACTGCCCGGCCAGCCCAAGCTGTTGTGGGGAGGGGCCTCTTGCCTTCACACTTGGTTTTCTCCCCAAGTTATTATATATAGAAAATCACCATAGGGCTGCAGGGGAGCCGGGTAAAAGCGGGCCCGTGCCCTTGCAGCAGCTGGGGGCACGCAGCGGGCTCACTCTCCAGTTCACCACAGGGGCGCCCAGAGCTACCCACTGTGAGCCACCTACCTCTCAGCACCAGCCATTGGCAACTGGAGGAGCATTTAATAGGAATGTGAACACATATTAAGCCTTTAATACCTTAATGAGAGAGGCAGCCACCCCTTTACAGCCACAGACACTGAGGTTCAGGTCCAAAGCTGACAGGCAAAGAAGGGTGGCACTTAGATAAACGTCTCCCTGGCCCAGGAGCCATGCTCATGTCTTGGCACATTGCTTCTCCACTCCAGATGTCACTTCATGTCCCTTGTGTCCCACACTGGCTCTCTCTGGAGGTTTAACCAAGTGACAGTGTCAGATCCCACCCCCCTGGATGTCGAAGCCCTAGGAGTCCCTCTCTAGAGCCTAGCTGTAGCCACTATCCAGAGACCCATGTCACCTGGTCCAATTTGTTTCTACGCCTGCAGAAAAGCAGTTCCTTGGCAGTGCCTGCTTGCCCATCCAGCCACACACGTAACCTTCTTCCAGCAAGATGGGGCCCCACGATGCCAGGAAGCCACCAGTTGAGGCTTCTTTCAGTGTGCGTGGAAGGGAGGAGCCTCCCAGGGTTAGCGTGGGGTTAGGGAAGAAGTGGGCGGGACAGAGCCCCGTGCTACCGGCTTTGGCCTGCAAGGGCTCCCTCTGCCTGCCATGTGCAGAGCCTCCTGGAGCTGCCCAGCCCCTGGCAAGGGCCATTCCCAGGGCTACTCAAGGCCATTGCCCTTCTGCAGAAGGAGTGACCCATAAAGTGTGCCTTCTTGTTGGAAGGAATCTGCCCCTGGCCCAGGGTCCCCAGACATCATCCCTAGTCCTAGCAGGCAGGAGCTGCCATACATGCTTCCACCCGCCCCCGATCAGGTGCCTGTCATGGTGGGGAGAGAGGGTGCTCACGAGGGACTTCTCTGGCCATGGGTGGGGTATGGGCTGGTTCTTGGCTTGGGCCGGGGCCCAGCAGACTGGCCCCTGCTGGGGATGGAGGGGTCCAGACAAGAATGCCACAGCCCCTCCCTGACTAGAGATCAGATCCCAGGCCTCTCGACTGCTCTGAAGCTCTGCCCCCCAGGGCTCTCCCAGCACAGCCAGCTGATGGCAGAGAGGATGGGTGCTGAGAGAACAGCTGTCTTGCTCCTTCCTCAGCTCAGCCCAGGCCCCATGGAAGGAGGAGGAAAGGATCCCACAAGGCTGGCATCAGAGCTGTCTCTGCTAGGTGTCTGGTGCCTGGCCTGAGCATTCCCAGACCTGAGAGCACGCAGGGCACATAATTGTTTCTCCTTTCTTACCTGGGTGCTTGTTTGGTGGGGGGGTCCCAGATGCACAGTTGCTGCCGCCCCTACTAGCACAGTGCTGTACACCCTACTTCCCCCGTTGCTCCACCTCACTCTGTTCCCTCTCCATCCGTCTGTACGCACCAGCATGGAGGCGCTGCGCTTGAAGCTTTGAGGAAGGGGCAAAGTGCTGCTTGTCCTCAGGTGGCTGCCACAGCCCCTGCCTCTCAGGCGGTGCATCCTCCCTGCCAGGTGAAGGGTCCGAGATACAAGATGTCCAGTTTCTTTAGAAGGGGTTAGCAGCCTGGCCTGGAACCACTGCATTGTCTTCATGGTGTCCCTGTGCCCAGAGGAGGACTCAGCCCTGTGAGCCATGCCACACACACAGCCCACAGTCGCAGCCCGCTGATCCGGTGCACCTGGTGGGCAAGTGCCCACTTGGGAAGTACTGGGCTGGAACGGAAGCTGGGGTTCACCAGGGCCCCACTGGGCACTCGCTTCTCTGCTGGCCAGAGTGGCTTCACTTTGTGGAGCGAGGTGGCGGTTGCTGCCGGTGCAGCAGTGTTCTATGTACCTGTCTTCAGCTCTAACTCTCCTGGAGGCCATGTGCTGGACTCCCAACTTTACCTCCAGGCCAAGACTGCATGTGGCCTGTCAAGTGGGCATTCACATGCTCTTGCCTCTTTGCAGAGGGACAGACTGGACACCTAGGCGGGTCTGCACAAGTGAAAGTAGTGTGTGGTAGAACCCACTTCTTTCCTGTTTAGCGGGTGGCATCCCTAGCTCCTGTCCCCTGGAGGCAATCACACTGCCGGTCTTTGGACTGGGGCGGAATGGACAGGACTGGGGATGAAGGACCACAGTGGCTACCAGGTGTAGAGACCGGTGATACAGGAATATTGAAAGGTGCCACCACTGTCCTTCCTGCTCTGAGGGCAACTGCCTCCCAGTGGGGATGTCCCTGCCTGGCCGCTGACAGCGAGGTGGTTGTTGGCTTTGTACTTTAAGAGTCTGCCTGCATGGCCTGGCCATTTGGTGTCCAGCACATGGAGAAAAAGGCTCATGGGTCCTAGTCCATTTGCAAGACTAACATAGGCTTAAAGGTGTAACATGAGCACGCACCACCTGAGTCTCCCACCAACTGTGTGTTCCTTGGGAGTCATGGTGCCCGCCCGCCATTAATTGCAATCTGGTATTTGTTAGATGTTGATAGGCGTGCGTGAGACCCAGCCAGCTGAGCAGTGTAAGTGCCCCACTTGGGGACAAGCTTACCCTCTAGCCTGGCCAACCTCTGGAGCTGGCCCTACAGCAGCAGCTCCCACAGTGCTTGCCTTCAGGCACCTGCTCTGGGCAGTTAAGGCTGGTTTGCAAACGTTCGCCGGGGGCCACTGGCCACTTGGGGGCAGCAGGGGCCCTGCTCACCCGTGGTTTCTCTCCCTGCAGGCCAGCAGCTGACCGGGACAGCAGGCCATGCTGATGGACCAGCCCCTGCTGGCTTTCCCTGGGTGGTTGGGGGGGGGCAGCCACTTGGCCTTTGCCCAGCCTCCTTTGTACTCCTTCAGCATGTATCAGGCTCTCAGTGGCAACACACTCCCTGCCGAGTTATTAACCTCTCCAAGGAGCACAGAGGACCTGGATGAAAGGCTGGGAAACCTGGATGTTATTTATTTTTGCTGAGGCCCAGTGACGGCAGCCACTGAGCCATCCCAGAACCCCTGACTACCTAAGAAGACCAACTCCAGACGCCTGGCAGGGAGTTCAGTCAAGTCTGTAGACCCTCTGTCTGAAGACGGACATCCTGGGGAGTTCTTGATTGCAATGAGTCCCCTAGTCCCGGCATTTGGGGGATGGGCGCCCTCTCTTTACTCAGCACTGGAGGAACTGCCACTCTCCTGGCTTTGAGCCTCCTGCTGATCATGAATATTAAAGTCGGTTTATCAAGGCAAAGCTTTCCTGCTTGGTGCTGGTGTGGGTGGGAGAGCGGGGCACTTGTCAACACTGTGCAATGCACGGTGGTAGCCGCTGGGCCCAAGGGTAGGGGGAGGCCAACCCCTCAAACTGTAAGGATAGGGCTAGCCCACGTGTTTCTCCGCCGCCATCCCTGGAGGTCCTGCCCACACGGCAGAAGCGCAGACCCTGACCCGCTTCTTCCTGCGCCGGCCTAGGGGACCGCACTTTGTTTTCTGTTTTGTTTTGCTTTTAGATTTAGGAGAAGGGAGGGAGAAAGAAAAGTTGATATGCGAGAGCTACATCGATTGATTCATATGCTCTCAACGGGGAAGTTTGCCCGCAACCCGGGCATGTGTCCTGAAAATGGATCCGGGCGCTCAGTCCACAAAGCCACAGGAGCCTGGGCCAGGGGGATTGCACTTTGAACCACAGCTCCCGCCCGATGCAGCACCGCCTTCCAAAGACCCCGCCCCCAACCCTACCTCGCGTGGTTGTCCAGTGACCGGCTCGGCTATTGGCTGGGTTGCCGGCCCCGCCCCGGCCTCAGTTTCCCGGCCCGCCCGGGGCGGGCCGAGGGCGGGGACCCGCTCGAACCACGCGGGGCGGAGACCAGGAGCTGACGCGACCGCCCCGCCCCCCAGAAAACCACCCGCCGCCACCGCCTCTGCAGACGGCTTTGAGTGCCGGAGGCTCGGACCCGCGGCCCATGCCGGGTGCCCCCCCTCCCGTCCCCCGCCTCCCCGCAATGGCGGCGCCCCGCGACCTGGCGGCGGCCGCAGCCGCGCCCGGAAAGGCCAAGCTGACGCACCCGGGGAAGGCTATCCTGGCAGGTGGGCTCCTCGAACACCCGAATCCTGGGCCCACCCGTCCCACCGTTCCTGCCCGGCTTCCCAGCGGGCCCAGGATGCCTAGAACCCTCCCTACTTCCGGGTTGGGCGAGGGGCGCGGCCCTGTTCCCCAGCCGGCTCGGGGGCGCTCACGCTGTGTGTCACCCCAACGTGCCTCTGCTGGGCAGCGGGGGTGGGGCATGGGGTCCTGGTCGGACAAAGTCCGGGGCGGGGGAGGGGCCCGGGCGGCAGCGGGCGGGACGGCCAGGCGGGGTCTCAGTGGGTCTCAGGCCAAGAGTCTCCGGTTCCGGCAGGCGGCTTGGCAGGCGGCATCGAAATTTGCATCACCTTCCCCACTGAGTACGTGAAGACACAGCTGCAGCTGGACGAGCGCTCGCACCCGCCTCGCTACCGGGGCATTGGTGAGCAGGGGGCAAGCGGCTGGGAGCTCCAGGGGGCGGGCCCCGGGTGCGGCGGGAGTCGCTGACCGCCCCCTCCCCTAGGGGACTGCGTGCGTCAGACAGTCCGCAACCATGGCGTCCTGGGCCTGTACCGGGGCCTCAGCTCCCTGCTCTACGGCTCCATCCCCAAGGCGGCCGTCAGGTGAGGCAGCCTGGGGGTGGGGGCGGCCTCCGGGGGGTGCCGCGGGCGGTGGCAGCCCCTCTCACCCCACTGCCTTCCGCCCCAAGGTTCGGGATGTTTGAGTTCCTCAGCAACCACATGCGGGACGACCAGGGACGGCTGGACAGCACCCGCGGGCTGCTATGTGGCCTGGGCGCCGGGGTGGCTGAGGCCGTGGTGGTCGTGTGTCCAATGGAGACCATCAAGGTGGGGAGGTTCCCCGTAGGGACAAAGCATGCCGAGGGGACCTGGGGTGGTGGAGGCTGGAGTGGTCCTGTGTCCCTTTGTCCAGTGGAGATGTTGAGGTTGGGAGGGTCTAGCAGGAGAGGGCAAGGTGTACATTGAGAGCTGCTTGGAAAGCTGGGTGCGGGAGGCCTGCAGGACGGGCCTCCTGTGGAGGCTGGGCTCTGTCCTGAAAGCCTTGGGAAGATGGTAAGTTTGTTAAAAACACTTTTATAAACAGAAAACAGTGTGTTTTCTGATGTTGTCTTAGCTATGGGCAATGCCAGCAAACACAACTGCAGAGGCTCTGAATTGAGGCGGGCCTTCTCGTCTCCTGGGTCATAAGTCCCACAATAGCCTTGGCTGGCCTGTTTCGAGGTGAAGGTCTGTATCTTCAAGAATGGCCTGACCTTGGTGGGCTCTGGACCGGCAAGCCAAGGGGCCAGGTGTGCCTTTCCAGTGGCACCCTGGGAGCCAGCTCCTTTGCTTTCCTCTCTCTCAGGTGAAGTTCATCCATGACCAGACCTCCCCTAACCCCAAATACAGAGGATTCTTCCACGGGGTTCGGGAGATTGTGCGGGAACAAGGTGAGTCTTTTGGCCTTACTCTTCAGGTAGGGTCAGGGGCCTCAGTCAGGATGGAAAGGACGTGTACTCACTTCCCCTTCCTGCCTCGGCACTCCTGTGTGCAGCTTCCCCAACTCTCCAGCTGGGGCTCACCCCCATGCCTTCCCGCCCCCAGGGCTGAAGGGGACATACCAGGGCCTCACAGCCACCGTGCTAAAGCAGGGATCCAACCAGGCCATCCGCTTTTTCGTCATGACCTCCCTGCGCAACTGGTATCGAGGTGCGTCTGCTGCCCTGAGACCCCATCTCCACACACTTCTGGGCTTCCCCGTCAGGGTCTTGCCCCCCGAGGTCCCCACCTTCATAGACCTTAGTCCACGCTCTTCCCCAGTCCTCAGAGTTGGCCCCTTTACCTTCCCATCACCTTCTGATTGCAACCCGCACCCACATCTAGGGGACAACCCCAACAAGCCCATGAACCCACTGATCACTGGCGTGTTTGGAGTTATTGCGGGTGCAGCCAGTGTCTTCGGGAACACTCCTCTGGACGTGATCAAAACCCGGATGCAGGTGGGGTAGAGCCGGGAAGGAGGGAGGGGAGCTTGGGACGGCGGCTGGCTGCTGAGCCCTGTGCTGTGCCGGTGTCTCGCAGGGCCTGGAGGCAAAGAAATACCGGAACACGTGGGACTGTGGCTTGCAGATTCTGAAGAATGAGGGGCTCAAAGCGTGAGTTGGGGAGAGAGAGGGCTGTTGTGCCAACCCTAGGCCCTCCCTGCCTTCTTTCTAGGCCTCACCCTAAAGCACCTACCGGCCCCAGGCCATCCCCTAGCGAGTCCTTACCTTTAGGCCCCTGGTCTTGCCCCTCCAACATCTAGACCCACCCCCACTGTCCAGGGGCACCGTCCTTCATCTGCCTCCTCGCCTACTTTTTTCTCCCGCCCTACCCCAGATTTTACAAGGGCACTGTCCCCCGCCTGGGCCGGGTCTGCCTGGACGTGGCCATCGTGTTCATCATCTACGATGAGGTGGTGAAGCTGCTCAACAAGGTGTGGAAGACAGACTAACCCCTAAGGGTCTGCACTGGGGCTGCCCTCAGGCACCTCCACACCAGCCCCCTCTGCCCTCTTCTCATGATTCCAGTGCAGTCGTGCCAAAAGGCCCCCTTTCCTGTCCCTTGCATTCCGTGGCCGGGGCCTGTCCCCTGTGGCCATTGAGTCCATGTGTCCCATAGTACTGTGTGTCCCTTGTGGTCCATATAATATCATTGTGTCCATGTGTTCAGCGGAGGCTGGGTGTTCCTCTGGCCTGTGAATCTGTGCCCACTTGTCCATGTGCATACTCAGGAGCCATGTGCCTGTGGTTCTTGTCCTGTGTTATATGACCTGTGTCCCACTTCCCAGGGTGCCTCTGTAGCCTGGGGCCATGGCCCTGTAGCTATGGCTCGGTCCCAGCCTGGTGCCTTTCCCCACGGGCAGCAGAGGTACCTGCCCCCGGCCCACCACAGCTGCCTCCAGGCCTCAGCCTGGCCTCACTGCATTCCAGGGGCTGCATGCCCCCCTGCTTCTCCCGCCACTGGCCTTAACTGGCCCTTGGGCCCTCCCTCCGCCTGGGACAGGGTGGCACCCTCCACTCTCAGGACCACCCTCCCAAGGCAGAATAAACCGGATCCTGTCACAGCTTCCTGTTCCTGTGTGGGCCCTTCTGTGGGTGGGCAGTGATGGGCACGCCTTCATGAAGGTCAAGCCTGCCTCTCATCTGTGGATCCTGGCAGGGGGACAGGGAAGCCAGGCAGCAGGCAAGCTGGTGGGCGAGCCCACTGTCGCCGCAATGTCCACCCTGAGAGGCCTGACACCAGGCCAAGGAACATCTGGGCCCCATCCAGACCTTGCCTGTGGCTAAGATCCTGTAGGGTCACTTGGAAGGCAGCACCAAGTGGGCAGAGGAGAGAACTGCCTGGTGCCACTGGTCGGGCCTGGGAGGCAATGCCCCTGGGCTCTTGTTTGTCCCTCAACCTGTAATTACACCCACCTCCCTCCCTCCCTCTTTGTTTGTCTGTAAAATGGTGTGCTACCAGTTTTAGTCCCCTGAGACTGAGCAGGGGGGCCCTTCCTCACTCCACCCAAGACTGGGAGGCAGCTGCCCTGGGGCAGGAGTGGGTGACGCTGCCTGACCAGGGCCCTGCTGGTTCCTTACCCTACAGCCTTGAACCTCAGAGGTAAGTGTCCCTCTTGCTGGAATCCCGGGATCCAGGCATAGGTGGGAGCCCAGCCGGGCTCGTGGGCTGTGGTTCTCCACTCCGGCTCTGGGGCAGGTGTGGGGAATCCCCATCCCCAGGGCACTTTCCACCTGCCTGCGATGAGCTGGGAGCCACGACCCAGGAACCGAGGGCAGGAGACCAAGAGCAGGGTGAGGAGAACCAGTGCCCCTGGCTGCGTGGAGACAGAAGGTGCCGCCTTGTCAGGGTGACTCCATGGGTAAAAGCCATGAAACGGTTTGGCTCAGACTGGGAAATACCTTGCCCACAGAAGCCTCCCAGTAGGAAGGTCCTCTCCCTGGAAGTGTTCCTTTTGGGGGAGAGTGCCCCACCTGGTAACAGCACCTGGATCCTGGGAGCCTGAGGTAGATAGGAAGGTCAGATGTTGGCGAACAGGGAACACGGTTTTGAAGGACTGGACCATGTGCCCTTGGTGTTCACAGGAGACTTGCCAGTCTTTACCACGAGGGAGGAGAGAGGCCCAGCCGCAAAGACAGCCTGCTACAGGGGCCGAGGGCTGTTCACCCCACGCTTACACGCACCAGGGGTGCAGGAACCCTGGAGGCTGGAGCCTCAACCTCAGGCCGCCAGGTCGGCCTCAGAAGCTTTGCTGTGGGGCTGAAAGCAGGCGATGGGCAGCGCTGTCCCACAGCACAGGCTACTGAGAGGACACCCTGGCTCCCTGTCTGTTCCCTGTGTGACTTTGGGCAAGTCACCTAACTCCCATTTCCTAACCTGCAACACTGAGTGACACAGGAACCTGCCCCAGTGGGTTTTTAGAATGAAATGATGTAATCTGTGTAAGGTGCTTAGAACAATGCTTAGCACAGTAAGCCCACACATGGTGGCTTTTCTCTCTGGGTTGCAAGAGGTAGGTTGTAGTCTCGGGGGTCCAGGCAGTTCCTAGAGTGGGCAAAGCCCAGCAGCTGGGCCCTGAGGGGGCTTAATGTCCCCCAACACCGACCTCCAGGGATGGCATCCACTCACTGACTACACACCAGCACTCCAGAGTTCTGTCCTTGTCCCCCTTCACAGGAAGGGACCGAGGCTACCCTTGGCTGAGAGCAGGCATGGGGACCTGTACTCAGGAGTGGCAGGAAGGCTGCCACACTTCTAGGGTCCCCTACCGTGCCTCACAGCACAACTCAGAGAGCAGGCAGGGTTTGCTGAGCTGGGGCTGTGAGGATGGAGCTACGAGCATGGAGCTGCCACCTGCATATTGGAATTCTCCTGTACACACATTGCCCAGGGAAGTACACAGCCTGTTTTTGGTGCTGAGACCTCAGGGAAGAAGGGCTGGCAGGGAGGGGTATCCCGTGTGCAGGAAAGAGCTTGCCATGCCTGGGCTGAGGGCCAGTGAGGCTGGAGGGAAGTGAGTGGGAGGAGAGCAGCTGGAGAGGCAGCCAGGGGCCTGGGGGGAACCCAGCTGCGTTCAACCAAGACCCCAAGGGCTGCAGAGAGGAGGCCAAGGGCAGGTCCAGTGCAGGTGCCAGGCCACTAGAACTAGAACCACTGCCTGCCGTAGCCACAATGAGGGCAGAAGGACAGAGAGGAACGGGCAGAACTTCAAGTAATCGGGAAGCAGAACAGGCTATATTTCCAGCCTGGTCACAGGCCAGAGTCGGGGAGGGGGAGGCTATATCTGCTTATCAGGAGAGATGTGAGTACGGAATGTGGAGACCCAAAGTCACCATAGTCCTCCCACAACCAGAGCCTCTGCCCAGCTGGAAGCTGCAGCCAGCCCCCACTCAGCCTCAGGCAGCCTTTACCATCTGGCACGGCCTCCAGCCTGGGATCACAGAATGTGCCCAGGGAGGACAAAGGCCTCAGAGACAGAGCAAGGGAGGAGAGGGTGGGGTGGTGGCTGCTTCTGGGACAGGACTTAGCCAACCTCCAGCCCTGTCCTCACTACTATACAGCTACCCCCTCTAGGCAAAGGCCCTCAGACAGCTGCCCTCCACTACCCCCACCCCAACTTCCTTGAACCCTTTCTTCACTGGGTGGCACCACTGCATGGATGGGGGCTGGGTTTTCCCATGTCCTTATGTAGGGGATGAATGGCAATCAGAGCTTAATATACAAACACACACACACAAAACAAAATACAGTCAATCCTGACTGGGATCCACAGCCTATGTCTCCTTTTAGCCCAACAAAGAATTGTTTTTCAGGTTTGCCCTCAGCCTTCACAGCAAACAATCTCAGTGGAGGATGCCACAGTATTTTCCTTTGGACTTTTTTTTTCTTTAAAGATTTTATTTCTTTTTAGAAAGGGGAGAAAGGGAGAGAAACATCAGTGTGTGGTTGTTTCTCACACACCCCAAACTGGAACCTGGCCCGCAACCCAGGCCTGTGCCCTGACTGGGAATCGAACCAGCGACCCTTTGGTTCACAGGCCGGCACTCAGTCCAGAGCCACTCCAGCCAGGGCTTTCCTCTGGACTTTGCCCTTCCTATGTGTTTTCACAGATACCCCGGTGGAAGGTTTTGGGTAAGGGGCACAACATTAGGGGGCCTAAGGAGCTCCTGCTCTTGCCTCCTCAGGATCTGGGAACAGGGACTGGGCACACCAGGACAAGGATGGAGATGCAGGCACATGGAGAACTGGCTGCAGAGGGCCATGGGAGGACCACCAAGAACACTGAGGACCCATAGCCCGAGCCAACAATGTGGGTGACTTACAGAAAACATGATAGTCCCTGCTGGAGCCTTGTAGTTCCCCTCCTCCCACACCCACCTGGCAAATATCCCTGAGGGCAACTTCTCCTCTGCCCAGACTAGGCGGGGCCCTGAACCCTGACCCTCCCCAACTGTGTCACTTGTTTCTCTACGTGGTTAACCCACCTCTCTTAATTTTCTATTGGCCTAAGCCTGACCTGGAAGGCTCCGTTTGGCGCAGGAGTGTCATCTCCTGAAGTGGTCTCAAGGGGGGCCTTGCCACCCCCTCTGCCCCTAAGCACTGCTCAGATGCCCACAGTGGCCTGCTGCAGGCTGGAAAGCACTGCCTCCGGAAGCTACCCGGGCCTTGCGCAGTTTTCGCAGGTTGACCGGGTTAGAGCCGCTGAAGCTGTCTGACCAGCTTGCTTGTTGGTCCCTGGCGGCCCGCACGACCCCCTCCTCCACCCCGCGGCCCGTGACTTGGCGAGGCACCCCGCTCTCGGTGCCTAGGAGACTTCCCCCAGGGCTGTGACGGAAGGAAGGTAAATCAACTGCCTGCGATCTAACCCGGGAGCTTATCCTGCGGGTCGGATCAGGTTACGGTAGAGGGATTACGCTTGTCTGGGCTGAGAGGAGCGTCGCCCTCACGGTCACTCGTGTGCGCCCCCGGCTCGGCTGCTAAAGCCCGCGGACTATCAGGGCCTCTCTCAGCCCCGAGTTTTGGAGTTCCGGAGACCGGGGTCCGCGGGCGCCGGAGTTACCCAGTAAGCTTTCCGGGGCCCATTTGTGAAGGAGCCGCTTTCCACGGCCGTTCCCCGGGCCAGGTGCCGGGTCAGGTGGCGTTCCGGGAAGAGCCGGTCGAGAGGAGATCCGCTCCCGGAAGTTGGGGCCGGCGCGCGCTGATGACATCACGGGCGAACGCAAGGTCCTTGGGCAGGGCGGCTAGGGTGCCCGGACGCCTGCTATGGTTACTGCTTCCAGGCTCTGGTTTTCATTTCACCGCCGGTGCCCCGGCGTCGCCTGCAATCTCCCAACATCCAGCCGTTCCCCGAGTCACTGATGGCGCCTGCCCCGACCACCGACTGTCAGGCTAAGCACTGCCAAGGACCCCTCATGACGCGCCAGCCTGCGGGGACGCTGTCCCAGGCCCGCCGCCACCTGGAGATGCCTGTTTCCCCAGACCAGCCTGCCCTCTCTTCACCCCCAGACATCTGGACACCTGACGCTCCCTATCCCTGAACTGTTCCTCACCCTCGACCTGTAATTCCCGGTGTCCTTCAGGCCCTGCCTGACCTATGTGCAGGTAGAGGGGCGTGTTCCCCTTTACCCGCCGTGCCCTCTTCCTGTTTCCTCAGACCTAAACCCCCAGGGGAAAGAGCCTGGTTCTGTGGCTCACCCCTGTGTCCCTCCATAGGGTCTGGGCTAGAGAGACCCTGGTTACTGCCATTGCCAAGTGCAGGAAGGAAGCATTTCCACGTGTGTCATTTTTCTCCCCCTGCAACTTTTGCTCCAGCATTCCCAGTCTCAGCCATGGGAAAGGAGAAAAGGGTCAGAGGCCAAGAGGGCTCCTTCAGCCTCTCTCCATTGATAACCCCTACCTATCCTACCTTATCTGCCAGCCCCAGTCCAGCCACGTGTTGCAGTCTGTGGGCTCATGTAAGGCACAGCGGCTCTGCCACATCCCTGTAGAGGAGGAGGCTAGGGAAACTCTATGGTGCAGGGTCACCCCTCTAAGTCCCCCACTGTGGGAGCCTGTCATTT